CAGACGATTTCTTTCGATCGACTGAAACAGTGACAAACGTGGGATATCGTTTTAAAAACTCCTTAATGCCACCAGATAGAAATATCGTTGGAGGGATTTGATCTTTGTCAGCGTTGTACTACAATGAAAATTTAGTTCGCAGTCAAATAAGAGAAGGGCTATTGATGATTAAAAAAAAGATACTCTGTCATAGTGCCCAACCAAGCAGAGTCAGAATTATGGCTAAAAAAATCTGAAAAATACTCAGCAATCATGGGCGCACCAAAGCTGCTTGAACAACAGCAGGTTTTCGCGCTCACTTGTAACGCCACAGAAGGGCTGTTTTTAGAAGAAAAGGATTCGATCACTGGAACAGGTGTTTTATTTCCTGACTTTTCTGATTCCGTCGAGAATCCTTAATCATAGGTGATGGTAGCATAGTCATAGTCATGCTCATGACTATGCTACCATCACCTATGATAAAGGATTCCCGACGGAATCGGACATGTCAGGAAAATAAAACTATTGTTCCAGTGATCGCATCCTCTTCTTCGAAACTGCTTCCTGGAACTCGCATATTCTCCACTATGGGCTGTTTTCATTTATGTCTCTCTCTACTCTCTCCTAAGCAGCCGGTTGACCGGTCCGGACGGTGGAATGATGCATGGAAAAACGCACAGAAAGTCCACTCTCACCGCATTTTCTACAAGACAAACTACCTGATGCTCTTGAGGCATTCACAGTGCGCTAAAAACCGTGGTTTGGAAGGTTGGCAAAGGAAGATTATACTCCTACCTCGCAGTCAGCCCGGTGTGCATTTGTGTGGAGAGGCGGACTGATTGACAGTGGGATCTGAGCAGCTCCCTAGGCACGCCTAGGAGATGGTTGACGCCGCATCAGCCCCCGATATTGACTCTGCCGTGAGATTGGATTCGGGTGGGATAGGAGGAGAATGTGGTATATAAAGCGGAAGCTTCCTATCACTATCGACTTATTCATGCCCAAAGCACCGTCCTTGCACCTATCCTGCTGTGGGGTACACGGTGGGCATCGTCAGTAACGGTGATTGGGCTGTCAAGACTAGACTTAATAAATAAATGGCTTGTCAAACCTTATCACGACTTTAAAATCACTGTCAAAAACTGTGAAACTTGTTAAAATGAGTCTTGTAGTTAAATATGTCGACCTACTTGGCGCGCCAACGTTTTCAAAATGCCAAATTTAAATTATTTTGACCTGAGAATTAAAAATTGTGCAAGAACGACTTTATTAACTAAAGGGCTTTATGTTTAACGCTATCCTCATACAATAAAAGGAAAATTACCCATAACTCTGGTCTCATGGGCAATTTGATGGAACTGTTTGTATCACAAATATAATAGAAACTTAATAATGACTACCTTTTGGGTCCTGTTGGAATTGAATTTAGGATGTAAACCTGGACATTACAGAACACAACAACTACAACGCTTCGAGAGCATGAATGAAGTGTAATGGCTGTTTGACGGACAGTGTGTTATTTTTGAAAGATAAGCATGCGTTCAATTTGTAGTTCGGTCAGAGCTTACCGTTACAAGAGCATCGTAGACTATTTTTAGTGGATGACGGCCAGGAAGATCAAAATATTCCGCTTTTTCCGGGTGTCCGATAAGTTCCTCTCCAGTAGCTTCATCCACCAGTATGATTAACTTTACACTATTACGGTGGTCCCAGTTAGAACGCTCCTGGTTAGACAGACTCTTCTCAATCCTTGTTATAGTCACGCTGAAATTTATGTACAGTTCAAAATTCGACTAAATGTTTAGGGATATAAGCAACAGCTGCTAGTAGGGGGTGAAGAATATAACCAACAGTAGAAAAAATTGGTAAAAACGTGAAAAAGAACGATAAACACATGCATGGTTGAGGCAAGAAAGTGAATTGATCGCGATAAGTGATAGAAAAGACTCATCTGTACCCCTTACAGATCCGCGACTTGTCTCCCAAGTTTATTTGACAGGAATATTCGATGTGACGATACTCAAATTCATCCCGTGAGCGGACATCAATAAATAATAGTGGCTTCTTGGTCATAAGCATGGCATAGAGAGAGTCGGGAGGAATCCACCGGCCGGGGTAATGTTTTGTCTCGGCAGCTTCTTTGGCCTAAAACTATAAGGTTTAATATTAAGAGGATCTACAGCTTCTGGATTCTTCGCTTCAAAAGATTCTGTACAAACTGGGAGAGCATCGAGGAGCTTGCATTGTTCTTCTAAATAACGTTCCTTTAGATCATGACGGAGAGAAATTCTAACGTTTGCGGCTTCAGAGCGTTTAAGAGCAAGCTGAAAAATTACTTCTTGAAGTGTCAAATTACTTTTCTAACTTCCGACGTGTTGATACTAGAGCAAAATTTATCATAGAGTTTAATTCCTCTGTCATAATAGATATATGCCCGTTCGTCGTCAGAGCCAAAGAGGCTATCTGCATCTGAAAAGCACTTGGAAATCAATCCAGGTATTTTGGAGTTCTCTAGATGAAAAGATCCAATATCAGAGAATTTCTCCAGTTCCTGAATAGATTTTGCTATATACAACGGGCGCGCAGGACTAGACATAGCGAAAACGCTGGGAACTGCTTATCGCCGTATCTAAAATGCCGCCTGGGTTTATGCTTAGTAAAACTTCAACTACCTATAGGGAATGAATGCCAGGATTCTGTTTGCCGATCTCCAAACTTGTTTACTGGCTTATGAGTTCTATAGTATTACAGGAAGTCTCCATTGGTAAATACTGAACTTTTCACCCGATTCCGGAAAAATTTTGGAAAAGCCCTCCAATAATGCTCCTACTGAGCAAGCTCAGTAATACGCCCATCCCAAGAGCTGTAGTCAAATGGATAAAAGAGTATCTGTTCGGTAGACAATACCGCGTCAGGGTCTGTGAAGGGTGTTCTTCTGCGTATGAGGCTCGTAGTGGCGTACCCCAAGGGTCGGTGCTGGGTCCCAGACCATTTTCCATATACCTTTCGGATATGCCATCAAGACTTTCTTCCCCATGCCTTCTGTTTGCGGACGACCTCAAGGTATGGCACATTATACGCAACCCCGAAGATACAATGAATTTCCAAAATGATCTC